ACTCGACTTCGATTATCTCACGAACTATCGCACAAGTAGTGATGCTTTTAGGCTTAGGGGAGTTCTAGAAAGCAGCCAAATTCACCTAAGCATAAATTCTTCGCAAAACGCTTGTTTGTGGAATATTTGCTGCGGCTTAGCCACGGCTGAGCCGCAGTAATTTAAGCTGCGGCTGAACCGGCTGGGCCGGCTAAGCCGGCTTGCTGCACTAGTTTTAACAAGCACAACTATTAGTATATTTGTATAAACTGAGTTCGATAACCAATTTCACGCATATGTTTTGAAAAAGTATTCCAGCGAGTTTTTAATATGCAATTATCGATAATTGCACATCTCATCGAGCAACTACAATTCCTTCGTATTTTGTGTAACATTTAATCATTAATCATTTTGATCCATTCCATAATGACTAAGTGTGAACGATAGTTAGTTTTTCTCTCATCTCTCATTTCATTTTATTGAATTTGTATCTAATCCAATTGAGTTGGGTATTATGACTATTTTATCTTGATTAGTTATCTGATAAATTTTGATTAATATACCTTAGCTGAATGAGAACAGCAAAATAAATAAAATAAAGTAAATTTTATTATTCTACATATACATATGATATATATTAATTTATTTAAGTGATCGCAGGACGACAAATCTTTATTAACTCATTTTTATTAAAGGAGGTCCCAACTAGGACCGGGGGATTTTACCAGAACTGTCCTTTTTCGTTTTCTAGTTTCTACAACCGGATTTTACCGGATGACCCAATTGCAACCGGGATTTTACCGGAACTGTCCTTTTTCCTGGAGTTTCTTGTTTGTCGACCGGAGTTTCACGGAGATGTCCTTATTTACTTATTTATCTTGAGGCATCCCTTGTGAGTTTGTGGCTGAACTTCAATCGTGATCCTGGCACTGTTTTTGTCCTCCAGTATACGTAACTCGAACCGGCGCAATCACTACGCTATAGACCCACGGGTCTCAAGTCGATTTCAAAGGATAAAGTCTTATATACTCTTTAATTTTATAGAGCGTTCTCAACAAAAATTTAACGACTATATGGTTAATTTAACGTGGGTAAGAAAATTTGGCGACTACGCTATAGATTTTGTGTTTGCTTTGTGGGGCATAGGGATTTACGGGTAGTGCAATGGCGTATACGCAATATTACAGTATTACAATGTTTACGCGGTTCACATGTATCAACCATTATCAATTACTTAATTTAGATACACAATAAAAAGACAAAGAAATTAACATATTTGATAATATTTATCGAAACGGAATTTGAATCGAAAAAGAATTATATAAACTTAAAATCATAATAAAAATATAATAAAATAGGTTGAGCATCGTTCTATTACACTAGTTCATATCGATATAGAATATTTTTAAAGAGAAAGGAGCTCATCGTTATTTGTATAGTTCTAATTTAAATCCGAATGGCTTGGAGATCACAGAATTGACATTTTTATGAAACAACATAAAAGTGCATATACAAGACCTGAGTCGCTTACATTCCACCAAAAACAATTAACTAATATAAAAAGTAAAAAAATGAGTTGGGTCTGGTATATGTACATTTACATTAGCTTTGCATGTTTTTCATTAGGATTTTGCCGAAGTTTCACCGTTTTTCTGGGGGTTAAGTTTCATATTTTTTTAATCTTAAATAGGTTTTGCTTAACAACTATATTACAGAAACACATGCTTTCATTGCGTGATTAGTGTTTAGGCGTAAGGTGAGTTTGGACACTTCTTTTAATGTTACTCAAAGTTTCATGATGAATGAATCATATAATCTTCTAAAAATGTTGACTTTGAGAATTCTACAGTTGGGCTGAAGTTCGGCATACTTTAATAAATAGGTGTGACGAAAGATAAGTCAAAAGAAAAAGCAAAAACGAACTTATTTAAGGAACAAATTTATGAATTATTTGTGCTACAATTTTGCTTATACGTAATCCGGATATTTGATACAGCAGCATGTGAGATCTATAAAAAAGGTTTTTTAAGTGCCGACAGGCTCAGAAAATATGTTTTGGTTATACAAAAATTTAACATAAATGTTATATACATTTCCATAAATTGGTTTATGTGTGCAGAATAATATACATTCTGAACTCTGTACGTAAGTGCATATGTGCATATCTCGTGTGTTCGGAACCAAGTATGAATCAGTAATATTGCGGATCAACTTTACAACAAGGTTGTAAATTTTGTTCTTTTTTCATCCATGCTCAAGGATGTCAAAGGCGGCCCAACCTTTAAAATTTAAAAAATTTGTAAAAAATTTGTTAAAAAAAATAATCTCTTTAATTTTAAAAATCTAGAAAACTCCGGTTCAGAATTTGTGAGACAAAGTTTGTTGATTACCTGATCACATCAAAGTGATTAATTCGGATCAGCCCGAAAAAAACAATGAACTAATATTTTCGGAATATAAATAAAAATTAGATTTTTTTGTAAAAATAAATTCCGTAGGCATAATTCAATTATTCATTTCAGCAACTAATTTCCGCCGGGTATAATTCAATTATTCATTTCAGCAATTAGTAACTAAATTCCGTCAGGTATAATTCAATTATTCATTTCAGCATTTAGTAACTCTAGCTGTATATCCATTTCAAAATATCCAATCATAATTATATTTTTTAAATTTATTTTCATAAAAATATCGATAAGTTTATGAAAATTTAGTTACTACTCACTGACCTAACCGAACCCTAACTAGAACAATGATTGTTGCCAATAAACCCGGAAATTCGGTACTGTGTAACGATTTCGAAATGGTTTGTTTGTGGAGGCGTACATATATTTGAATTAGGCACATTCTCATTCATCGATTATACGTATACAGTAATACTTATTAATATAATGATCTTCCTTAAAAAGTAAACGGAAAAAATTATCGTTATTGGCAAAATTTTTCTCGAAAAAAAACAATAATAAATAAACAAAAGTGAAAATTGTCTTATATAAATTGAATGTGCTAGCGGAATGATCTGGCATTGTAAAATAAACCAGTTTACCTATACACCTTACCGAAAAAATTAACTGTTAATTTTGTAATTTGTGATAATAACAAAGCAATGCCTGATTTTCCTGTTTTATACTTTGTTCGAACCGATAATGAAAGTGATTGTTTTATTATTAAAATAGATGAAAAAAACTACTGTCTAATTGACAGTGGACCTGCTCACCCTTCATCTTATCAAATTTTTAAATCTGCGATTTTAAAATGTAAAATACCAAATTTTAAAAGAATTATTATTACCAATCCTCGTAAGAAACATCATGGTGGTATAACCAGATTCTTAAAAGAATTCTTTTTCTTAAAAGAATTCTTTTCACCTAAAGATATTCAAGCTGAAGAAGTTCCAAGACTCGATCTTGATGTGGTACTTACTGAAGAATTTAGCAATAAACCGATTATTGATATTCTAAGAGACAATGGATTTGAATTGGATAATAAAGAAACGAAATTTGTGTATCAAAATATAATTATAGATTGCATTTTCCATAAAAACGGGAAACCATTAATTTTAAAGCATAAAAAAGATGCTGAACAAGACATAAATGCAGTAGGAAATAACGATAACGTGACATTGATGAGAAATAATGCTAAAATTCAAAAAGATCAGTCGAGTATACTTACATATTTCCAATATTTTAACGACGGAATTAAAAAATCAATATTCCTCACAAGTGATAATGTCGCTTCATGGATACATAAAGTATTAGCTACAAGGTTAAACTTATATCAGCCAACGCAACAGATTGAACGTCCATATATTGATATCTTTCAAGTACCCCGGCATGGGTCAAGAATTAATTCAATAATTGCAGAAACTTATGCTAATCCACCCAAATATGTACATCAACAATTTGCTTTAATGATTATTTTATTTTTCGGTGGGCAATTTGATTTTAAAAATCTTACCGATGAAACAATCATTTACATAAAAGCTGATTTCGAAAACATGCTTAATTTTACTAATTTTGAAACATTAAATAATGCGGCTCTATTGCAAGGATATAATCAAATTTTTTCAAATCAAACTGCAATTAAACGTTTTTTGAAACTTATGGCAAAAGCATTGATTATTCAAAGTTCTGCAACAAACCATAATGCCGATTGGGATTGGAATGAAATTAATTGGTCAGAAGTTGTAAGGAAATTATATATTATTTATAAAATGAATCAAACTTCTGGATCACATTGTTGGCCAAAATATGATTTTATTAGAGATATAATTGATAGCCATAAAAAAGAACTTGATCCTTATTTTAATAATACAACAAGGGGAAATATTATTGAGGAACAACTTTATTCATATTTTGATAGTATAAAAGAGAGAATATTTAAAAATTTTGATATCTGCATTTCCACAAAACCTAAAAAAATAAAACACCGATTACAATATGCCATATATTTTAGGCCATTACTTAGTCCAATGTGGCATTGCCTTAACATTTCCCCTTTAGCATTTCGATATATTGCATCTTCTATCTCCAATTTTTATGGATCATTTATAGCAGGAACCTATATTATCTCTTCAGGATCAAAGCATAGATGTCCGAGCCCGTTAGCAATGATCGGAATTATTAAATCTGTCTTGGAGGATTCAAATGTAAAGAGAAATGCAAAGTTCTTGTTATCTAATGGATCAAAAATCAATATGAATTTATTAGCTTTAGTCGTCAATGATTTATTGGAAAATGAAAAAAATAAATCATATGATATATATGAACTTTTAAACCAGCGCATTAAAATATATGCAATTAGTGATAATTCGTATAAAGTTGGCATTGATCTTTTCAATGGTGAATTTGAAGATCCAAAAAGCGTAAGACTTTTGAGTTGGAATAGTTCTGAGAATTTAGAAATCAAAAAAATTTCTGATACCTTTAAAACTATTCCAGAACAACCAATTAATAAAATCTCTGAATTTTATATCAAGATTGTCAACGATAAACAACTTTGGCTCGGTGTTAATGAGAAAGGGGATCTGGTTCCTTCAAACAAGCCTATTTTGTTTTTTATATCTAATATACCATTTCTCGATCAAATTGCATATCGAATTTCTAGTTCCAATTTTAACTTTATTGTTAAATTTGAGTGGGCGACTAAGAATAAATACGATGAATTCTATTTATTAGATTTAAATACAGAACAAGACCTTTATTATACGCTTGGATATGATGATTTTTATTTAGTAAACAAAATTGGAAATGATGACTTTGAAAATTATAACTTTGAAAATGATGACTTTGAAAATGATAATTTTGAAAATGATGACTTGGAAAATGATGACTTTGAAAATGATGACTTTGAAGAATTAACACCAATACCACATTTCAAGAAGCAACCTTTCAAAGAAGGTGCGCAATTATTTAGTTTTTCGAAGGATCCAAAGGATTCAAAGGATCCAAAGGATTCAAAGGATTCAAAGGATCCAAAGGATTCAAAGGATTCAAAGGATCCAAAGGATCCAAAGAATTCAAAGGATTCAAAGGATTCAAAGGATTTAAAGTATAATCTTATAAACAAAATGAAATGGAAGAAAAGTGGAAACACTTTGTATAGTTTCTTGATGGTGCTTGGAGAAGAACATAGTGCACACTCTGGTTTGACAATTGTAAATGTGCTTAATTATATCATAAGAGCTTGTAATGTAAAAAAGATATTCAAATCCTTTTCGGATGAATGCTTGCTTCATCAAGCTAAATTAGACTCTGAAGTTGAATGGGAAATCACCAAGAATAATCTAATTTATATAAAAAGTGCTATTATAAGGCTACAAGAATCCGAGCTTCCAAAACTCCGTTCTTGTTCACCTTTTTACAAACATGCTACAGCCATGCAAGTTAATATTAAAAATGCACAACTTGATAACCTGCAATTAGAAATTAAGATAGACTTGGATAATAATGGATCAAAAAGTAGCTGGGTATGGACTCCAGAGATTTCAGATATATATCAAACAAAATCTGTTTATGACTATCTGTTAAATGCAAATATCTCACAAAAAAGGTGGAAAGATATTACCCTTAGTTATTTAAGTTTATTAATAATGCCTCCATTAATGGTAACACCGGAATTTTTAAAATTCCCGTTACCATTCTTATCAGGCACTTCATTATTAAATCAAAAAATTAATAAAGAAATTTCGCATATCAATTTTGAAGTTGGTCCTACTGGTGCTAGATTAATTCGAGTAGATCTCTTTTTGGATAAATCAACAACAGAACATAAGTTTCAACTTGATAGTATCGAAATTTCACAATTGACTGATATTAAAGTCACGATTATTAACTCGGATGCTGTTAATGGTGACCCTAATATAACCATCGAGGCTCGTGCAAATATTAGAGATAATGAAGTAAAGATATTAATTCAAAATGAAAATGAACAATTTTTAACTGCGAAATTTAACAATAATACAACTCTCGCTAATATTGCACAGGCTTTAAATAACTCCGAAAATGTATACAATAAACTTGTTCCTTTATATGACATATTACTGGATGATCTTTTAAAAGACATTAATCCAGAATTTAATTTATTATTTTATCCGGTAACTGAGGCTCCCACGATGAATTTTTGTCTTAAAAGTATTAGCATTTTTGCGAATAATTTCCCTAAAATGGAGAAATTCATGCCTCCTCAAATTTACAAAAATTTAGGATTAACAAATATATTCATTGATATTTCTATATATGATCCATTATCTATAGAAAATATAATGATTGGTTTAAATATCAAATTTAATCTTTTAACCGTGGATGATAAAAAACTTGCTGGCAACCTTTCTTATCATCCTGTAAAAAATACAGAACAGCCGATATTGGTTTCTATCAGACCTCAAGATTTATATGATAATAATAATGATCCACTAAACTTGAAAGAATTGCTAAAAACTATCGATTTATATGATACCTTTGAAAAGCTTAATGAAGCTGCACCAATGTTATGGTGTCATTTGAAAAATTTAGAGTCCGTGGAATTTCAATATCTTGACTTACAAATTAAATTGAATGAGCAGAATGCTATTTATGAAATTGGTGATTTTAGTCTAGGTATTTTAATTCCAAAGTTTATAATTAAAAGGGATGTTATTGAAGTTACAAACGCAATCATAGGTTTAGAATATAATGGTATGCAATGGTCAGGAAATATCCAGGGGATAGTCGAGATAACTGGAAAAGATAGAAGGTATAATTGCCAGATCAAATATATGTTACCAACAAAAGAGCAGTTTGGAAATCTATTAATTACAAACTTTAATGACGATCTCAATTTAAAAGAGACACTTCAAATTTTTCAACTTGAAAGCATTTTCGAAATTCCTGTTTATGGAAAACTTTTTGAACCTATGAAAATTTCAGAGATTAATATTAATCAAGTTAATTCGGACAATTCAGATTTTATTATTCAAGATTTGTTGTTTATACTTCAAGCGAATAAACTTGAGCTAAAACCTTTAACTATTGAACAATTGGAAGTGTGTATTTCTTATTTTCCTCCAGAAAATGATACGGATTCAGCAACATGGAAATTCAGAATTGAAGGAAATATTGATTCAATGATTGCAACATTAAACTATAATAATGAAAAACGTAACATTCAGGCCACTTTAGTTCCTGTTAAAAGTAAAAAACTTAAAGATATTACAAGGTTGCTTATAGAAATGCCTGAATTTTCTGATAATTCAATGTATTATGAGGTATGCGATTCAGAAATAACAAACGTTGAATTGGATATTAATACTGGTGTGAATAGTGTTTATATTGAATGTTTTTCAACCAAATTAGTAAAGGTATTACCATATGACGAATTCATTCTTGACAATTTATCATTTAAATATGAGGTAGCGAAAAATCCTAATCAAGTAGCTCCACCTCATAGAAAACATATATTAGAAGCCACAATTTCTCGCAAGATAGCTAATCATGACGTTTGTGCAAAAATAGAAATTGATTGTTCTGAAAATGTCGTAGAAGCTTCTATTACTTTATTTTCAAATCCTTCAATATTAGACATATTAAAATTTTTAATAGGATATCGATCAAATTTGCCAGATTTATTACCAAAGTTGCCGGAATTGCCAAATTTTAATGATATTAAGCTGGATCAAAACTATTTTGTAAAAATTTTAATCAAGCCATTTAAAATAATTGGGTTCAATGTTTCTGCAGAGGATAAAAAAACTAATTACAAACTCTTGAAAAAACCTTCAATAACTTTACAACCTGTTGGAATATCAATCAATTATACATATGATATCGACGGAAAAAAAGAAAAACTTGAAGGAAAAGTATATGGGACATTTATGTTGGATGATACGATAGAGCTCAAATTAGAATTTGCAAGCTCAAAAACTAAAGATGAAGATATAGTTGTTGCAAGTATGGAATCTAATGTAGGCGAAGAAGATTCTATTTATATTTCAAACATTGTTAATACGTTGATAGGTGATAATAAAGGATGGTCGAGTAAAATTCCAATAGAAATGAGATCGCCAAAATTCATTGTAAAATCTCAACCAGTTATACTATCTGAATTAATCTTGTCAACGAAGGAACAAGCCTACCTTTATATTAACTTTTCCAAAAAATCTGTTGCACTATATGCATCAATCAAATCAATCGGTAATGCTTTACTCTTAGTCAAAAAGTCAAATACAAAGACTTCAACTGACAATGAATTTGGATACATATGTGCCTTAAAAACACCAAATGATTTTAAAATTGAAGATTTATTTAAATCATCTAACATTGTGTCTAATATTGATGAGATCCTGCATTTAACACAAGCAAATCTTGTGATTGTGTCATATAAAGGCGTAATATTTGAGAAGGCTAAACAAGAACTAAATGATATAATCAAAGATCTCAATTATATTTTAAATTCGGATGATAAAAATTTTAAAGACAAGAAACAAATTAAATTTGAGGATATTATTTCAATTAAGTTGCCAGATAGGTATCAACAGAGATTAGTACAAGGTGCAAATTTATATGCAACTTTAGATTATGGCAAGGATCAATCGGTTTTATTAAAAAATCTTTGTGCAACGACAAATTTAATTTCCACTTCGCAAAAAATATTGGTTGAATTATCTTTAGACACTAAATCATTATTATCTAACAGCGAATTTAAAGCAGAAATCGAAAATTTAATACTTTATGGTGGATTGAATTTCGAATTAATTTCATTTTCTTATAAGCCGAAAAGTAGTGAATCTGAATTAATTATTTCCGGAGATTTGAATTTTAAAACACTTCTTGGTACAGAATTTAAAATTAATGGAAGATTGGTTATCAATGAAGGAAGCTCATCATTTAAGGCAGATTCAAAGTTATTAAAATTACAATCTATTGAAAACCCATTTGGAATGAGCGGAATATGTATTAAAGAAATAGAATTTGACATGAATTTCGATTATAAAAACGATTTTGTCATAATAGAACCTACTAATATGTCATTTAATATGACATTTAATAGAAAGTTAAAAAATAGTACACATTTAAAAGGCAAAGTCAGGTTTAATTCAGAAAATCAAAATAAGGAAACTATTTTTGAGGGACAAATTCTATTTGTAAACGGGACACCATATGTTTGCAGTATAAGCATTAACAAAGAAATCAAAATTACACATTTACTCGCTAAAATACTTTCTGTAAAATGGCCTACCGACTTTCCCGATATTATTTTTAATGATGGAGAGATTTATTATATGCCCGCATACCTTCCTAAAGATGAAATAATAATTGACAAAAAAGTTTATAATAAAGGATATAATATCCGAGGTCATATAAATTTCTTTGAAATAGTCAATCTTTCAATCACTGCACAAATAAATAAAGGAATAAAGATTCAAGCGACAGAAAGTAATAATTCAGAAATAGATTTGAGATTTATTAAAATCACTAAATATAATTTAGCAATAGAATTAAGCAAAAGTAATCACAGCATTGGTATTGATGGTTGTCTCAAATTATTTGACATGAACCCTGCAGAATTTCATTTAAATTATAAAAATGAAACACGATGCCTTGAGGGAGAAATTAAAATGAAAGGATCTTTGCTTGGAATAGATAATCCAACAATTATGGGATGTTGGTCTAAAGAGAATAAATTTAGTATTATTAAATGGCCGAGCTTTTGTGAATTAATTTGGAAGACGGCAGAATTTGCAAGTCTTATTGAAGAAGCTTCAGTTGGTTTATGCGAAGAAGTTATTTCCGATCTTAAATTGAATGAAAATTTTGAGGGACATTTCGAAATTGATTTAAAACAAATTGATACTCAAAGTGAAAATTTGGTTTCTTTTCTAATTACGGGAAAATATTTAATTAGAATTACAAATGGAAGAGAAAAATTAACTGCAATTGTAGAAATTGATATTCCGTCATCAATTCAATTAGATATTAAATATCCAATATGTAATAGGGACATACCAAATTGTTTATTAGAGTATTTTAAAGATCAAATATTAAAAAGCGCAGCAAAATTTTTACGAAATCTATTAAAGGATCCCAAAAAGTTTATAAAGTTTTTAGATGCTTTAGCAATTGTTACTTTGGTTAACTTGAGCGAAGATACTTTAAAGGTATTCATATGTTTTGCTGGAGTTGAAATAAATAACTTAGCAAAAGATACATTAGATGCAATGAAGAAACGTGCCAAAAATATTTTAGAAAATAAGCGACCTAAAAATAAGCCTATAGAAAAGGACATTTTAGCAATTGAAGAAGCACAAATGTTAAGTAGTGCAATAGATTTGGCTAACCTACTGCTTTTAATGACTGGAGAGTGGATTGGATATTTTAGTTCTGCTATCATTTTATTAAAAAGACTCTATGGTGATCAATCCAATGAAGTAAAAGAAATTGAAAAGAAAAAAAGCGAAATGGAAAAAATTGAGAAAAGGATAAAAAATGCAGTAGAAAGGTTTTTAAATATGGAATATTTAACTCCAAAGTTGAAATTTGTTACAGATAACGCTTTAAGAATCAATTGGAATATTCCTCTAAATGCAGAAAATGATAAATTAGCTAGGGAAATTCGTTATAAACTGCATATTAATATTTTTGATATCAATTTTTTTGGAAAAGAAAATATCATTACTATTGGTAAAGAACAAATAGAAAGTGATAAATCGAAATTATCATTTGTGTTGAAAAATGATTTACTAATTAAATGTAAAAAAGTTTCAGTCAAAATAGCGGCAGTGCTTCAATATAGTGATCAAACCTACTTAGGATCTCAATCAAAAGAAGGAATAGCCGAGAATGAACCTAAATTAATCCTCTAATAAATTAATATTGCATGCTATAAAATTTCTCCCCATTAAAATAATTTCAAAAGAAACAATATTATCGCGAATTAATTAATAATGACAATAATAACAATAAAAATAACAATAAAAATATAGTTTATCATAAACCTATCAACGTAAACACTTTAGAGAGTAACCATGCATATTTGCCCAGAGCGATTCGGGGTATTTTTGTTCAAGAACCTTTTTGATCTAAAATGTCTAGATATTTTCGGATCTCTTATAATTAACATTAATAAATTTACATGTTTTTTATATTTGAATATTTTTTATTTAAAATAAGTTATCTTAATAAAATTTCTATTTAATTTATTTTTTTGTCAGAAAGTCTAAACTAATGTCCAAAGTAGTTCGCAAGAATACTGCTTCCATGTGCTTTGAGGCCAAATATATAATTTTAACGCATTTATAACAAACATCTTTGGTTGTATAACCATTATACTTTTATATACTTTTGCGTGTAACAATTTAATAGTTTAAAGCATACCTTAATTAGCCTTTAAATAGTATATATCTTATTTAGAGTCTATTTGTAAATATATATAGAACGTTATGTATTTTAGTTCTTAGGTCTGTTTGTCAGTCTTTTAGTGAATCTTTTTGGTATTTTTGAGTTGAGTTTTAGTGCGTTGGGAATGTACTAGGTTGATTAGTTGAATAAAGATATTTGTTCTGTTAGTGTCTGGGATACAATAAAGGGATATTGGTTTAGTACTTTGGTACCTGGAAAAGAGATATTAATGTTGACAACCCTGAGTTAAATTGATCATGATACAAGAAAGACTCTCCCATTGGACGTCACAACGTATGGGCCAATTTTTACAATATACTTTACAAACTGATCTAATTCTGGTCAAATTTGCTGATTATTTGGCCTTGGCTTATCCGTTTTTAAACTTATAAACCAAGGGCCAAATGATCAGCAAATTTGACCAGAATTAGATCGGTTTGAAAAGTATATTATAAAAATTGGCCCATACGAATGATCTTGGAACTTATATCAGTTTCCAGTTGTTTGCAATGAGTCGCAACGGCAATTATAGTCTACTTTTAGAATTGTATGTCTTGATATCCTCCAACATATATACAATAAAATATTTATTATATTTGGATAGGTCTTTTACGTATTTTGTGAAAACTTATTCTTCAGAATAATAAGGTTTATAGATTTCATGAGAAAAGTTAAAGCGAAGTAGTGGTATTGTAACTGTTTACCAATTATAATAAAATTAAAGATCAGTTTGATGTTGGAGCAAACACAAAATTGTTTTTGATTATTTTTTATTAGCCATTAGTATTCTAGAATACAGGATTGGTTCAATATTTATTTTTTGTATTTTTTGTTTTTGGTTTGTTTTTTTTTCTTTTTTAATTTTTAGTATACTAGGACAATTAGTTCAATGAAATTTTAGTTTGTCTGTGACAAGATTATATTTATAAATTTAAAGTTATCGAGATTTCATGATAAAGTTTTTTTCTGGTATTAATTTTGCCTTATATATAGTTATTTTTATAAATATCGGTTTTTTCATTTGTGACAATTTGTTAACTTGATTATTTTCGATAAACCAATAAAATTTACCAGTACAATCACGTTTCATGTGTAACATGAAATGTGAAGGAATGGTTTCCTTTAACTTTTTTGATGTTGCTTATGTTGATTTTTGCAAAATCTTTTTTTAGCAGGAGTAATGTTTATTTTTGGAAAAAGTTAAGATTTTTACATACTGTATGATATAATTCTGTATGCAGATCATTCAAAATTTATTATTATGATGCAAATTGACATCAATATTATTAATTTCAAAATTTATGAAGTAAAGCTAACACTACTACTCAAAATTTAATTCAATTTTTTGAATTTTGCACTTTTGTTGAGGTTTTGATGTTTTATTTTCACTGGTTTTTTTTGGCATGGTTTTGCACTTACAATTACTTCAAAAACAATGCATTTTACTAATATCCATTTTACTAAAAAGCTTATTTTGCAGGTG